ATTATTTACCATTTACTGCCCCAATCTTCCCAAAACAGGTCAGTTTTTGACCGACTTTTTTCTGCGCTGGCATAATTGACTCAAAATTTGTTCCCAGCGGTGATTTGCCCTCCCGAAAAGAATATTACATCCGGTCGGCCCGAAGCCCCCTGGCGCCCACGTCAGGCGCAGGCGCCAAAATACCGTAATTCACCAAATTCGCTGAAAACCTGTTCCTGAAGGTAGTCTGACCCCTGAACACGAATATCACATCCGCTCGCTCGAAACCTCCTGGCGCCCACGCTACAGGCGCTGGCGCTAGAACACCCCAAATCGTCGGCGCCTGCGGCGCGTGCCAGGAGGAAGTTCCGGGTCTAAGCGAATGTGATATTCGTATTCAGGAGGTCAAACTACCCCAGGAGACAACATTTGAGCCAAATCTGTCCACGGAGAAAAAAGTCGGTCAAAAACTGGCTCAATTCTGGATGGTTGGGGCAGTAAAGGGAAATAAGGCCAATAATTCCAAAGAGGTCAGTTCTTGTCTTGGCAGTCCTTCAATTTGCAAGCCGGAAAGGGCTCCCAGCACATCTCATCACCTGTATTCTGCTATTCACTTTTACCAAGTTTCTATGAGAATTGTTTTTTTCTTGTTGATAAATTTGACGATACGGGTTCTTACTGGAATATGTCGGACCTGGAAGGGTCATATCTCGAAACGAAAGAAAATCGACGTTGTTTTCTGTTTCCGATGCCATTTTCCACTGTCGACCCCACTTCTTTAGTGTTAGGCTAAAGTTCTTAGCAAGGCTGTTCTCTGTTGGTATAGTTGGCGAGAAATCTGGTTTCAGAGGTAGTTTGAATAACTGCACATCAATATAATGATTGTTTTGCAGGAAAACATTCGGCGCTCGCGCTAGGTGCTGATCATGGGGAGCTTTTTTCGGCGTTCTTCGGCTACGAGGGAGCCATTCAGCACTTTTGCTAAATACTTCCTGCTACCAGCTCTTGCTAGACAGATCCACCTTAATAAGCCCTGTGGACTCTCGTCAAGGGTGATTGAAGCTCATGCTATGGTATAGCTTCACAGGGGCCTTCAGGTCCCGACAGGAAGGCATCGTTAGTGACTGATGGGAACAAGCGAGATGTCCAAGCAAGCCGATTTGGCCCTTTTTCTTTTACATTTCTGTGAATCGGATACCGATGTTGCAATTTTTCTGTAAGAGCTGTGAGCATGTGATCTGGCAAGGTATCATTCCTACAAAACTGCTATTTTAAATCAGGTGGATCCTGGTGCGAATGTCGCTCATGTGAACCGTTTGCATCGTATTCTGCTGCTAAAGCACTGAAAGAAAGCATCGAAATGTAGAAAATGACATGCGACGAGATAGGGGACGGTTGAAGGATGGGGGTCCGGAGTGGATGAGCCATTTATCACAATGTGAAGTGTAAGGTTCTGAAGACACGAAATCGGGTTTGGCTGCCTATGCTTCCGGTTGTTTGGCCGAAGCCTTGCTGAAGGGAATCCTAGAGACGCCACTGGTATGACTTTGCTCTAACGCGGCAAGCAACTGCTTAAGTTCAGTGTCGAAAACCCACATCTTAGAAAGCCTCCCCAAACATCCGTATACTAGTAACGAAAACAAAAAAACAAAACATTACAGATTCGCTGATGGGATATAGCCCCTAGAAGTCTTCAATGGGCACGCTAGTACTGTACTGGGACAGGACGGATCCATACATCTCATCTATATCTTCGACGACAAATTCCTTTGCCATTACGCCAAACCGAGGCCGTGCAACATGCGATAGCGTGGATTCGGTTGTGCAATCTGCAGTGCACAAAGCGCCCCTGAATTGGCGACTGAGGTAAATGTTTTTTACACGATGCTTTTAAATTGCTTTATGATCTGTGGATAGTCGTCTTGAAGTAAACTGCACTTATATCTAGTTGTATATATTCTGGTTTAAGGCATAGGTAATAGGGATGTTTCACTGTAGGTGACCATAGCGCTCAATAGTTATTTGCTCTTCAATCCAACGTGGCTTTCCTGATTAGGCATATATCGGCTGCGGGAAAAGCGACCATTTACTCTTCCTAGAGTTTCTTCGTATGACTGATTGCGTACTTATTCCATTGTCAAGAAGCCTGCAGAAGACATCTGTTTTTGCATTGTGAATAGTTTTGCTCGCTTTTATTTCGTTGTTTCGTTCAGTCTGTCGGATTTAGTAATATTTGTACGTGCCACTGACTTTGTTCAATTTTTATCTCTTCAGATGGGCCACGGTCACCAAGAACCTTTCAAAATCCCGCATTACTCGATCTATAATAACTATCGAGAATTTCCTGAATTGGCCGCACATGAAAAGCGGCTTGCGCAGATCGGCCTGAAGGACAACTGGATTAGGTTTGTGTGCTACAGTCAGGTTCGCTGCGGATGATGGGGCACCCACAGCGTATCAAATTATACAAGAGCCCTATTATGCATCATGATATCCATTCTTAGGAATTATACGTTTCTGTTCGATCGCGAAATGCTCACGTCCGTGGCAATGGATCATTTTAAAGAGTGAAGTTCTTGAAGGCCGTTGCTCATCTCAATTTCGTTTCGTTATGAAATTCGGCTCAGTTTGGTTGGCGGGAGCGTCTAACGGTCCTCAGCAAAGTTTATACTGGACACTGTGAAGATTTTTCAAATTCCTATGAGCTCACTCGTACCAACTCCGTCATCAGAAAAGTTTACAAGTCACACAAAATTGGGAACCTGTTATTTAACACGAATTGAAAAAAATTACTAGGGAACACTAGCAAAATACCAAGATGCCCCCTTTGAATCATATCCCACTTATTGATGTGACACCCTATTTTTTCGCACTTCGTGTTGATTTTTTTGGAGGGTTAAACACATGAAAGTCATTCAAACCTCTTACGATCAGAAATCAGCTGCTGTCGTTGACGCTACAGTCAGACTTTAGCGCTTCGAAAGATTGCGTTGCAATGAACGCTGCTCGCTTATAAGAATGCTTTCATACTTCGCACTAGCGTTTTGAGCGACGCTGAAGACGTTCCATCATCTTTCTGAGATGATTTCTTTTTCGTCTCATTTTCACAAGCGCGGGTTTTCATAGTCTTTTTCTTTACGGATTTGGTGACAAATTTTCCCACCAGGTGTCATATTATGAACATTTTCTGTCAAGAGTTGTTGGGACAAACGTAGGCGTGGGGGAAACGCCTTTTCTCCTAACCGAGGCTTTGCGTGTCGTAAAGAGATTAAACCTAGAATGCAGGCGGCAAGAGTCGCGTAGAGGTGGCGCAGATAGACAGAAGACAACGGCTGCCAAAGCACTGAAGGTACTGAACGACCATAGGGCAAGCAGGGAATGTATTTTTTTTCAAGGGAAGGTTACTCCGGGGTAGGTGATTTGCTTACCGCACGTGAAAAGTTTCAATGTGTGAGGTTACATGCGTATAGAGCAACATGCAGACGAGAGGCTCAGAGAGGAGCAGGAAACTGAGTGGCTACCGGTGACGCTAGTCGTCTACGCTCTCGGCCTACGCCTTGGTTAAGGAAAGGCACCCAGAGGTGCTACTGCGTGTTCTCGTTCATCTACTTTAACACCAGTAGTTAACTAATCCAATTCACAAAGTCCAAAGAACTTTGAATGTAAGAAAGCGGCGCTATTGTAGTTGGGGGGCACTCTCCAGCGCGTTCGTATCCTTTCCCTAATCATTTACTATGAACTATGTCTGGCTGGAGACTGGAGATGTCTTCTGTGCGGGACTGTCCCTCTTCGACTCTTGTTTGCGCCTGAATCATATTGAGGGCGAGATACAGACGCGCGGCCGAGTTGTTCACCTTATATAGGTTGCCGCCCAGAAAGCTAATGTTGTTGCGTCTGCGCTCTGAGCCTGAGCCCTGTTGAGGGCGAGATGCAGACGCGCGGCCGCGCTGTCCACCTTATATAAGTTGAAAGCTAATGTTACTAAATTATAAGTTTAAGATAACAGATGGGATACGGTGCCCCGAACTCGCGAAGGTTTTAAATTGCATGCGTAGGAGTAAGTGCACACGCAATACTCAGTTTTCGCCTAGGCAGCACCTGGCT